GCTCCTCCCACCACACCCCAGCCCCCCTGGCCACACCCCAGCCCCACCAGCCACACCCCAGCTCCGCCCTGGGCCCCACATACGACAGACAGGGTAGAGCTTAGGCCTCGGGTCAGAGAGACTCCCACCTGGACTCCTGCTCTGCCGCCTACGAGTGTCCTGACCTTGGGAAGCCAAGTGCCTCCTGAGCCTGTTTCCACGTCTGTCAAGGGGAGGCCACTACCTACAAGGTGAGGCCTGAGGGGCACGGGGTTCAGGAGGAACCTCCCTCAGCGCTGGTGAGGTCAGCGCCCCACCTGCCCAGGCCCTGCATTGAGGCTGCCTCAGGATCCAGGTCTCAGGGCGGCTCCTGTCCCTTCACTGGGACTCTGAGTGGCCGGCTGCCCCTCTGCAGACAGCAGGTCTCAGCGACCCCCGAGAGGACCCCGAAGGTCGCGGTTCACGAGTGAGTACCCGCCACGCAGTGTCGGGGGAGGGCCCGGGCCCCCTGCCGCAGCCTCTGCTCAGCTCAGCCTGGGGACCAGATGGTGCTGAGCACACACCTGTGGCGGTCCCAGGACCCCATGACAACCTGCGGCAGCCCCTGGGGCATCTACACTTTACAGGTACAGAACGCAGGCTGTGAAAGGGAACACCCCTCCAGGTCACACACAGCCAGCTCCGAACCCCGCCCCCCGCATGGGCTCCTGCACCCACCACCTCACCCTGCCTTTCTGCCTTGTTCCAGTGAGGGTTTTCTCCCAGGTGTGCGATGGCCGATGGCCAACCACCTCTCATCGAGTCAACCCAGTAACGCCACCGTGGGCACAGCTGCAAACACGGTCCCTTTTCCGTGCGCATCAGGGCACCGTTCATACACAGTGGCTCATGGACACCCCCAGATCTAGGAGGTAGGCCCCAGTCATCATCAATAATAGCCAATAACCAATGTCAGTCATCTCTCAGAGGTCTGAACCACACCCTCCGAGCAGCCCAGGCCTGAGAACCAGCAGTTCAGTAGGGCCCCTGGCAGCTCTAAGCAGGGGCTGCTTGTGGGCGCAGCAGCCCAGGCCATGGACCGCCTGCCCGACAGGGTCCCTTCCCTGCCCCCTCGGAGCCCGGCCCGCACCTGCCCAGGTGGGCGATCAGTAAAGGCCGAGGTGCTGGGAGGGGAGACCAACTGCCTGAAGCCCACAGCTGGTCAGGGCCCAGGCAGGTCTCGAATTCAAGCCTTTTGACTGCTCTCTAGAGACCGGCCCTCCCAGGCAGGCGGGGAGAAGGCACGACGTGGAGAACGGAAATCACTTCCCAGGAGGGTCAGAGCATCTCTGAGGCCGATCCACCCCTCTTATCCCGAGGGAACAAGAGGGTGACCTCACGGATTCTGGAGGCAAAACTGACGAGCGGCCGGGAGTGGGTGGAGCACAGGATGGACTGGAGACACTGAGAGTGGAGTCGGTGGATCCCTTTTACTACCGACCTCCCGCTTCCTGAGACAGGGGCTCGGAATTCGAAGGGGAGGAAAGACTGTGGTGAGGACACAACCCAGGACAGCGCCCGAGGGAACCAGGAGAGCCGGCATCTGCCTTGTGCTGCGTCCTACCCGCGGCCACAGTGCCTGCACAGGTGGCCTTTGGCGCCTGTCACCAGCCGTTTCTTTGGGGGACTCACCTGCCCACGATGAGCTTAATGGTGTTTGTGCAGACGCCGTTCAGAGCGAGAGCCAAGGACACGGCTACAGGACAAAACCAAGAGGCAGAAAAGTCACCGGCTGGTCTCAAAGTCATCACCCACATCACAAAACACTGTTTCATCTATGGCCATAGGAAGACGAGCCAACAGCTTTAAAAACAGGACATTTGGGTGGCGAGTAAAATGTGATTAGGACAGGACTTTGGAGAGCAACTCAAAAAGTCCCGGGTCCTGAGCTGGAGACCGATCTCCTCCTCGACTGATGCTCAGCATCGCAGGGGAGCCGTCTGTCACGGGCAGATGTAAGGCTGCTCCGGCAGTTTCTTTTGCTGGAAGCGAGAAACATGAACTTCTCATTTCCTTCTGCAACCTCCTAAGTTACAGTTCTCATGAGAATGTCCTTCTGCAAAGGAAGACACTCCCATTTGGTAATTCTCCTTTTTATTTTATTAAACTTATTGGGGTGACGTTGGTTAATATGGTCATAGAGGTTTCGGGTACGGACTGCTGGGTCATGTGGCAGCTCTGTTCAGGTTTTTGAGGGACTCCGTACTGTTGGCAGAGGGGCTGCACATCCCCCTTCCCACCAGCAGTGGACGGGCCAGGGTTCCCTGTTCTCCACAGCCTCGCTATTACCTGTCTTGTTCTAACAGGTGTGAGGTGGTTTCTCGTTGTAGTTTTGATGTACATTCCCCCGACTGCTAGTGAGGTTGGACATCTCTTCATACATCGACAGGCTATTTGTATGTCTTCTTGGGAGAGGTGTCTGCTCAGGGCCTATGGCCATTTTTTAAAATCGTTATTTTGAAAGTAGTACAAATGTTCCCTTTATTCCCCTTCACTCTGCCAGCCTGCTCCCACCCCGCCCCCTCCCAGGCCTTCACCACCCCGTTGTCTGCACCCCCAGGGTTATGCGTCTATGCACACAAGTTCTTCGTTGACCCACTCGATGGCTGTTCTTTTCTTGGGTTGTCTGACTGGTGGTGTTCTTTGAGCTCTTTATATACTTTGGATATTAAACCTTTGTTGGGGCTCCGGTTTGCAAATACCATCTCCCATTTGGCTGCTGCCTCTTGTTTTGTTGTCGGTTCCATTTGCTGTGCAGAAGCGTTTCTGTTTGATAGTGGCAACTACCTCCTGTCGACCTATCACCTGCCAACAGCTGCCCATCTGCTATCCAGCAGGCACTGTGTCTGACGTGAGGAGTCCCACGACCTGGTGGATTCTGAGAAAGTTGGCCTAAAGCACCTGGAATTCTGGAATACTTCGTCTAAAATACACAGCAGGGGGCTCTCCCAGCTCTGAAGGACTTTGATGCGTGAGGGACAGGCCATCTGAGGATGCGCGTGACGGAGTCAGGGAGCTGCCCCGTGTTCACTGCGACCTCACACGTGGCGAGTCTGTGTGCGGAAGCTCGGATGCCGTGCACACGGAGAGCCCTCGGGCACCCGTCCCCTTGCTTTGCTGAACGATGACGCACAGGAGCTGCCCTTCCCTCTGGCAAATCCGAAGGACTCAACAGGAGCCAAGATCCGTGTGGGGACATTTTCGGGAAAGAGCAGTTCATGGTCATCAGGGAACGAGCCTGTTGTCCTACGAGCAGAGAGCTTGGAGTGGCCAGGGGCACCGCGGGCACAGGGACGAGCTGGAGAAAGCCACTGGCCTTTTAAAAATGTTTGTGTTGGGCTGGGGTGACATTGGTCAATAAAATTATAAAGGTTTCAGGTGCACATCTGTGTGCCGCACGGAGTGTTCACCACCCACAGTCTAGTCCAGCCGTGGGCAAACTACGGCCCGCAGGCCGGATCCGGCCCGTTTGAAATGAATAAATGCTTTTGTTCCGGCCTCTGGTCCAGTTTAAGAACCCATTGTGGCCCTCGAGTCAGAAAGTTTGCCCACCCCTGGTCTAGTCTCTTCCCATCACCATTTACTCCCCGTTTGCCTCTTCTACCCCCACCTTCCCTCTGGTACTCACTGCACTGCTGTGTCTACCAGTTTTATTTATTTTTTGCTCAAACCCGTCACCTTTTTCACCCAACCCCTCCCCTCTGACAGCTGTCAGGCTGCTCTTGGTATCTATGCACCTGTTCATTAGATCCCACGTGAGTGAGACTCTATGGTGCTTGTCTTTCTCTGATTGACTGACTTCATCTCCCATAATGCTCTCCAGGTGCATCCTTTTTTACAGCTGAGGAATCTATCACCTCACACCTGTCAGGATGGCACCATCAATAAATCAACCAACATTAAGCGTTGGCAACGATGTGGAGAAAAGGGAACCCTCGTGTCCTATTGGTGGGGCTGCAGGCTGGTGCAGCCAGTGTGGAAAACAGTACGGATTTCTCTCAAAAAATTAGAAATGAAACAGGAGCCCTGGCCGATTTGGCTCAGGGGGTAGAGCATCAGCCCGGGGACTGAAGGGTCTCGTGTTCGATTCCGGCCAAGGGCACTCACCTCTCGGCTGCAGGCTCGATCCCCGGCCCTGGCCAGGGTGCATGTAGGAGGCAACCAATCGATGTGTCTCTCACACCGATGTCTCTCTCTGTGTTTCTCCCTCTCCCTTCCATTTTCTCTAAAAAAATCAATGGAAAAATATCCTCGGGTGAAGACTAACAAAGCCCAAAAATTAAAGAAAAAAAAGAAAAAGAAACAGCACGACCCAGTGATCCCACTTCTGGGAATATATCCAAAGAAACGCAAACACCCCTTGGAAAGAATGTGTGCACCCCATGCTCACCGCCGCGTTAGTTACAACAGCCGAGACCTGGAAGCAGCCCACGTGCCACCAGCGGGTGAGCGGACGAGCAGCTGTGGTGCCCGTGCACATGGAGACCTACCTGCCGGTAACAAGTCGTGGGAGCAGAGAGAATGGAGCAGCCGGTTCCAATGGACTCCTTTGTCAGAGGAAGGTTTACCACGCGAGTGTGAGGGGGGGACTGCGTATCTCAAAGGCGGGGGAGGGTGGCCACAGATGGCTCAGACGTGTGGTCCTACCACTTAGACACCACGCCTGCGAGGGGGGCGCAGAAATGGAAACCGAGAGGGGGAAGCTCAGGGAAACCCTCTGATTGCATCCGCGTGCACAGACCCTCCTCCCGAAACGCTGGCCTCCCTGCCCTCTCACAAGCTCGGGGCCTGCTGGAAGGTCTTCTGGCAGAGAAGGGATCCCTGGGCTGTCTTCATGCCGCTTGTCCCGGAGCCATGACCACGGACAGGCTGTGAGGACACCCGGACATGACTGGGTCTCCCCCACACCCTGGTCCGCGGGCGCCCTGCTGTTCTCCAGCCTCTCTGACTTCCCACCTGGTCCTGGCCTGGCCTCTCGCACAGACAAAGTCTCCGGAAGAAGCATCACCAGCTGAGCTGCCGGTGCCTCGGGGAACTTCAAGGGAGGTGTCAATCGGAACCCCACACATCCGACCTCCGCACCCCTGGGCTCGCCCTGCACAGAGCAGGTCTTTGAAAGACCCAAGTAGCCGCGCTGGAAGCTGTGCAGGTCACGTCCCGACGGCCGGCAGCTTCACTTCTGACCCAAAAGCCCGAAGGAGAGAAGAGGGGGGATCTGGGGGTGACAATATCGAGGGCGGACGGCATCTCCTCATGAAAGCGATGGTGAGCTACTTGCTGCCAGAACCACAGCCTGACTCCTCACTCTGGAAGTGACCGGACCGGTGATTATTTCCATCTGAACAGCACCCCGAGGGCATCAGCATGGGCCTCTCACCACAGACACCAGAGAGAAGACAGCCGAGTTCAGAGGCAGGAAATGAGTGACCTGATCCGAGAGCTTCCTGACTAATGACAACCCTGGTTTGAGGGGTCTGGTGTGAGGCTGGTCGACAGCACCCCACCGCACTGCGGGCTCGAGAGGTCAGCCAGCAACCAGACTGTCTGCTGAAAAAATTCCAAGCCACGTGGTGTGAGCTGGCCGGCAAGAGGCCTGAACAGAGGGCACTTGCTGACTAATGAGAGTCCCAGAGGCTCCGAGGCCCCTGGTCACTTTGTTGCTGCTGGGGAGTTAGCTCTCCTTCCAGACGGGGTTCTCGTCACACGGACAGTGCTCTCTGCCTGTGTCCCCTGAAGCCTGAAGCTGTGTGGGCCCAGCCTCACTCCTCTGGCCCAGCAGTGATGCACAGAGGTGGCCACTGGACATGCAGGGAAGGGGAGCGCACAGCGTCCAGTCTGCGGAAGGTGCCCGAGGAAAGGGGCTTGGGCACAAAGCCCCTCCCTGGAAAGTCCTGGATTCCAGACAGTGGGAGGCTGCACCTAGTCTCTGTCCTCGCTTTTTAAACATGTTTTTATTGATGTCAGAGAGGAAGGGAGAGGGAGAGGGAGGGACATCCATGATGAGAGAGAATCATGGACCAGCTGCCTCCCGCACGCCCCCCACTGGGGATCAAGCTCACAACCTGGGCCTGGGCCCCGACCGGGAATGGAACTGTGTCTTCCTGATTCGTAGGTCGACGCTCAAGCACTGAGCCACGCCGGCCGGGCCTGTCCTCGCTTTTGAAAGCTCCTCCCTCCTCCCCGTTCCTAAGGCTTCCGAAAAGCAGGGGCTTTTTAAAATGTGAGGCTCGCCATCATTTCTCCAGGGCAGGCTCTCATTTGTTAGGTCAGCAGGACCCCGATACCTCCCCCTTCTCTGTTGATGTGTAGGAGGCGGCTCTGGGGTGTGATTTCGAAATGCGGCCCCAGGAAGACTCGCCAAGAGTGAAAAAGCCTGGAGAAAGCCACGTGGGCTCCTTGCTGCCGTCACCACAGCCAGACCTCAAGAGCCGCCGGCAAATTATCATGAGGTCCTTCCCCACAGTCACAGGTCTTGGGGTCTCAGACCAGAGGGGAGATGAAGAAACAGTGAGGGCAAGGGGTGGGGATGCAGACGGGTCCGCCACTGTGGCAGACAGTCTGGAGTTTCCTCAAAATTAAACGTGGAACTGCCGTCTGACCCAGCGATCCCCCTTCTGGGACGATATCCTGGAATCTGAAACCCCATCAGAACGAACATGTGCGCCCCATGCTCATCGCAGCACCATTTTCAAGGGCTGAGATCTAGAAACAGCCGAGTGCCCGTCAGCAGACGCGTGGGTAAGGGCTGTGGGACAGTCACACCATGGAATGCTATGCAGCTGCGAAGAGGAGGATCCCTTACCCTTGGGGGCAGCCTGCAGGGACCTGGGGAGCATGGTGCTGAGTGAAATAAGCCAGTGAGAGAGAGACAAGTGTCCCAGGATCTCACTCACATGTGGAATCTAATGAACAACATAAACTGACGAACAAAAGTAGATCCAGAGACAAAGAAGCATGGAATAGACGGACCAATCTCACGGGAAGGCAGGGGTGGGTGGGGGGCATGAAAAGAGATTAACTAAAGAAGTTATGTGCATCTATGCCTAACCCACAGACACAGACAATAGTGTGGTGAAGGCCTGGGAAGGGAGGGGGAGTGGGGTGGGGTAGAAGGGATCAATGGGGGTGGGGGGAGAATCTGCAATACTTTCAAGAATAAAGGTAATTTTTTAAAGTGAGGGGAAGGGATTTCCAGGTCAATTGAGAAGACCCCCAACAGGACATCCTGGGACCCCAGTGCTACCCATCCTGACCCAGCCCCGGCCACTCAGGCCACGTGTGGGAGGGGCTCCGGTGCCCTGGCTGGAAAAGCCGACCTCTCCACCACCAGCCTCGGAAACCAGGCCGTGTCACCACCAAACCCGAAACCACAGATGAGCAGCCCGGGACCTCGCCTGGCCTAGGTGAGGAAGGGGGAGGCATCCACAGGCTGGCCGGAGATCACGACTTCCGTGGCCAGGCCTGAGAAACCATGGAGCCAGGGACTCTGGGGGTGTGGATGTGGTGATTTCTGAGCTGCCTGTAACATGGGTCTATTCGCCACAATGTGAGCTGGACAGGCAGTGGTGACAAAGTTTCAGGCTCATTTTCTTTCGCCACCAAGAGCTGCTCTGCCCTGAGCCCAGGCAACCGGTCTTGAGGGAGGCGGACGCTACTGTTCAGCACAACGGACAGCAAACACGGACTGAGGGGAGGCGCTGCTGCTTCCACCTGTGCCCTGGACCTTCCCGGGCTCACAACACTTAGTCTTGCTCCTCCCAAGCTTGACTTGACCGAGAGAAAGTTAACTGGGAGCAACTGAGGTTTTCTTAAACCCAGTGATCTAATTCAGTCTGACCCACCCCTAAACCAGAACCGTGGATACTCTACCTAGGAAGGCTTCCTTAATTTCAGTCTTGTCTGTTCGCCGGATAATTTTCACCACACAGATCACAGCCAGGGGCGTGAGGAAAGAAATGGCCTGGAAGGGAGAACAGACAGTCCCTGTGAGGACAGTGCTGGGCCATCGGAGGCTGATGGGTCATCAGGGCCAGTGGCTGATCGACCATCAGGGCCAGTCACTGATCGACCATCAGGGCCAGTGGCTGATCGACCATCAGGGCCAGTCACTGATCGACCATCAGGGCCAGTGGCTGATCGACCATCAGGGCCAGTGGCTGCATCGGGCTCCCTAGTGGATGATCTGACTGAACTGACGCCGCCTGAGGAGGAGGCTCTGCGTCTACACTGCAGACTCCAGACGCCTGAGCTGAGGGCTAATTGTCACTGATGTGTAATTGCCGGAGCCGTGTTTAAAGTGGCGGCTTTTCAAACAGAAAGGACGAGTCTGTAATTGTGACAACTCGTCTTTGCCAGGAAGCCCCTCACGTCCTCCCTGCAGCAGGTGGAGGAGTCCCCTCTAACCCCAGCTCTCCGGCCACACGAGAGCCCATGGGGCTTGCTCAGCGTCCATCATTCATTCCCCTCTTGTTCTGCTGAACACTCATCTCCGCACGGCAGAGACCGGCCCGTGAGCAGGAACGTTTTCTCTTCCTTCCCTGTCCTGCCCGGACCCACAGCACAGACGTCGGGAGCACTTCCATGAGCCAGGAGGTGGGATTCGGGTGCAAACAACTCCCTGCAGAACCCGCTGTGAGGAGGAGGTCTGCCCAGGCGTGGAGTCCCTTCCCCTCACCACGGTCGGGCCCCTTTGGCCCCTTGGAACTCCGTGATGAGGCTGAGGACACAGCTGGTGGGAGCGGTCAGGCTCTGAGGGCAGGTGGTCTGCCTCCCCCACCTGGTCTACAATGAGGAAGAGGCGCTTCCTAACAGGACAAAGCATGGCCAGAAGGTACGTTTGTCAGGACAGAATTCATCCATACGAACAGGCTCTGCCACCTCCTCCAACCAGAGCTCAGAACATGGTGTGTGTGTGTGTGGGGGGGCAGGGGGCAGTTGGGGATGTCTGCGGAGACCGTCCCTGAGCCTGAGAACCCCTCTCTGCTCACTGTTCCTTTCTGACCACGAGTGGGAGCAAGAGCCCTCTTACCGGCTGTGGCCTTGAATGACTTGGCTGTTTACCCCTCAAATAAGGTCTTGCCCACTGCAGGGCACTCAGGAGAAGGGCCCAGGTCTGCGGCAGCTGTGGGAAGAGACTCAGAGGGAAGCTGAGCGGCAGAGCCTGCCCTGGGGCCACTCGAGAGGGACAGGAGGACACTCACTCCTGGGGCATCTGGACGTCTGGGACGTCCCACCAGGCCCGAGCTCTCAAGCTTGTCTCTGCCGGACCCTCCAGCAGGCGCCCAGGTCAGGCTGGACTCGTCTCCACGGCTCTGATGCTGGTGACAGACCACTCAGACCACTGGGCATTTAAACAGCGGTGACTACCCTCCTGCAAAGGCCTGTCTGTGGTTCCCGGTCTTCGGACATAAGAATTAGAGGCAAAGAAATGTGGGCTTGGGGGTGTGGAGCCAGTTTGCTCTGCAGGCTCAAGACCAACCATCCCACACAGAATAAGTAAATAAACAAGCAAACAGCGGTGACTGAGGGCTCGCTCACTAAGTCCAAAGTTAGAGTCAAGGTCAAGATGTCCTTGGCTCCTTGTTCCTCTCACATTAGGCACCGCAGCACAGGCCTCTACTCCCCACCAGAGACAGCAAACGGCTCTGCCATGACCCACAGTCGCACCTTAAACATGAGAGCAGCACACAACTGAAGAAAGCCTTGCAGGACAATCCAGATGACGACCCAGCTAGACAGAAACAAGACCCAGAAAAACACCAGCTGGGAAGGCTCTCCCCAAGAGGCTCAGAATCTGAGCAGGAGTTTGCCCAAGGATTGGGAGGCGAGGGCACACCCGGAAGGCGGGGGCACACCCGGGAGACCCACTGCTCAGGCTCCTGGCTCAATGGCCACGGGGCGTCTCAGCACTGCCCCCTGCCTCAGTTCTCCTGCTCTGCACCCAGAAATCTGTAGCATTTGTATCTAGACTTTGAAACAATCCATTGCTCACGTAAGCCCAGGACACAGCCACACGTCTCTCACATTACCCCACACGAACACTCATCTCTAAACTATGCTTCACAGCACATGAAACTTGAAGACTGGGGGGGGGGGCATGATAAAGAGAAGCTCCCCCATGAAAGACACACAGTAAACTACTCAGACACCAGCTCCGTTATTTCTAGGATTCGTAGATTTGACTTAGAGCCAAAATGGAGAAGTCTCATTTTAATGCTCAAGTGTTAGGTAGCGATCCCCTCACAACCACCCTAATTTTTACTTCCTCTGAGATTGATGAAAACCCAGCTTATTTTCCAGCAGAAAAGCAAGGACTAAAAAGCGATGAAAGTAAGACTTGAATGTCACTAGTCATCGCTAATGAACAGGAGTTCCTCCATAAAATCGGGATTTCTTTCAAAATGCAACGTTTCTCGCATGCTCTAGGAAAGCTTTGGAACCGGGGATTCCGTCCCCAGAGGCACCAGGCTGGCAAAGAAGAGTACCTTCCTACTGAGGCCGCCACCCAGTCCCGTCATGGCTGCATGACTGGGGGCTCATCTCCCTACAGCACGGCCGGGCACCAGCCAGGAGCCCTGACCCAGTCCCAGCCCAAGGGCAGCCTCGCTGAGGGGGCTCGGGGCTGGCCGCTCAGATGGGGTTCCTGGCCCTGCCACTCACTCGCTGGAATGCAGTTCTGCATCTGCAACCGTGGAAATAAGGACCCTCCTTCCATGGGGTGTGGGTGGGACGCACTGAGACCATCTTCCCGCAGTTACCAAGGGCCTGCAGGAGGGAGTCTCAGAGGGTGCGGCTGCCGTGGGGCAGGCGACGTACACACATCCCAGCAAATCCCCCGCGATGTGGGTGCTGGCCCACTTATTCCAGAAGCCGAGGCCCAGGCACTACTACCCAGGGGTGGAGTCACACTGGCCGCCTCCCTGGTGGCGGACAGCTGACCAACTGAAACCAGAGGCGAAGACCTCAGCTTCTCTTCGAAGCAGGTGGAGCTGCAGTTTCTGGCCGATTTCACTGTGAATATTGGGGACAGCTCAGCGCAGCTCAGGCCGGCAGGCCCCTCCTCCCAGCGCCCACCACCACTCCTTCTCACATGAGCCGGCAGCGCCCGCCACGATTTGGTTCTGAACTTGAACCTGATGGACTGCTCACCGTCTCCAGGAGGAGAAACTCACTTGGGAGACAGGCCGGGCTGGCGGGAGACCCGGTACTTACAAACATGAGGCGGGTGGGGATGTTGTCCGACTGCACCAGGGGGTTCTTGTACAGCCAGATCTCCTCCGGCTGGATGACCCTCTGGAACGGGTCCAGAAACTCAGTGAAACTGAAACAGCAAAGAAAGATGCGTGAGGGCCGAGCGCTCGGCTGCTGTCTTACTTCTGGGAGGGGGCGTGTCTCCCCCACCCCTGGGAGGACCAGCCCAGCCTCCACCCCCTCAGAGAGCACCAGCCCTCACCCCACCCCCAGGGAGGACCGCCCAACCCTCACACCCCAGGGGACCAGCCCTCCTCACACCCCAGGGGAGGACAGCCCACCCCTCACCCCCCAGGGGAGGACAGCCCCCCCCTCCCCCCCCAGGGGAGGACCAGCCCACCCCTCACACCCCAGGGGAGGACAGTCCACACCTCACACCCCAAGGGAGGACCAGCCTACCCCTCACACCCCAGGGGAGGACAGCCCACCCCTCACACCCCAGGGGAGGACCAGCCCACCCCTCACACCCCAGGGGAGGACAGTCCACACCTCACACCCCAGGGAAGGACAGCCCACCCCTCACACCCCAGGGGAGGACCAGCTCTCCTCCTACCCCCAGAAAGGACCAGCCCCACCCTTCACACCCCAGGGGAGGACCAGCCCACACCTCACACCCCAGGGGAGGACAGTCCACACCTCACACCCCAGGGAAGGACAGCCCACCCCTCACACCCCAGGGGAGGACCAGCTCTCCTCCTACCCCCAGAAGAGGACCAGCCCACCCTTCACACCCCAGGGGAGGACCAGCTCTCCTCCTACCCCCAGAAGAGGACCAGCCCACCCTTCACACCCCAGGGGAGGACCAGCCCACACCTCACACCCCAGGGGAGGAGTGTCCACACCTCACACCCCAAGGGAGGACCAGCCTACCCCTCACACCCCAGGGGAGGACAGCCCACCCCTCACACCCCAGGGGAGGACCAGCCCACCCTTCACACCCCAGGGGAGGACCAGCTCTCCTCCTACCCCCAGGAGAGGACCAGCCCACAGACAAGAGGAAGGATGACGCTGCCCTGGTTGGTGGCTCTCAGCCCCAACCAACTGGGGAAAGACGGAAAGAATGTCAGGGTTGGTGGCATCTTCCCTCGCCACCTGCCAGCTGGACTGATTCTGGGCATGAGAACAGCTGTGAGCGTTACATGCAAAGACCCTACGCCCCTGGGATTCGAAAGTGAGTGGGTCCAGCTCTGCCTGAAGCCGAGCAGGTGCTCAAAGGAGCTTCTGGAGAATGAGAGGCCCCTGCTAATTCCAGAGAGAACACGCGTTCCCTGAGGTCCCCTCTGACAAAGGGTCGTCATCGCACTTCTCGCGGCTGCAGAGGAGAGTTATGGAAATGCATTAAACCTTGAGGGGTCACC